AAACGGGGGGCGGTATTTTGTGCGCATTTGTGAACATGTGTCTCGGCCATTTGCATAGAGTGATGGGGGCATCCATATGCTGTGTGGCGAGGCACATTCAGTCACAGTCTTTTGCACGCCTGTCAAGGTCTCCCTCACATGTTCTGAAGGAAAACTGGCCGAGTGTCACGCCTTCCGACATCTGACAGTCACATTATCTGTTGAAGTGCAGGAAGACACTTTATCCCATTTCTCACAATAGCACTTAAACATCCCTGCTATACTGAAGCCTCATGTTAGCTGCATCACTGTTTCTGTCCATTATACCAGCCAATCAGGAGATGTGACGCTGCTCGCAGCCAATGGCAGATGGTAAAGGATCAGGAAGAGGAAGGAAAGGTGAGGGGAGTCATGAGTTTACCCTTGATGTGCTGGGGGGGAAAAAATCAACAACACAGCTTCAGCAGTAACGACTCAAAGAGAGGAAAGCAGAGGATAGTGGGAAAGGGAGGAACGACATGGGAGCATTATTTCACAGTGACAAAGACGTTCAACTGTTCGAAACAAAACATGAATGGAATAAAGCAGGTTATCAAAAATGTGTTATTTTTAGAATATTTACATATCCGTTCTAGAGGGAAGAAGGGGGAGAAGCTTTAGCTCCACTGAAAGGATGTAAAGTCACGAGGACAGGGTGGTGAGCATGAGGCCCCCAAAAAATTCAGCCAGCTAAAAGCAGACACAATGCAGATCTCCATAATGTCCTGTGTGAAAAGTGACATGTTGAAAATGTGGCCATCTCCCGTGCTGGAGGTCTGAGCTCAAAGCGTGGGAATCTGAGGAGAATATATGCAGATCAGTCAGGCACCGGCGAGACATCCTCTAGCATGAATGCTGTCGTAGCAGGTGAAAGAGGACCCTAGAGTTCATGGGTCAAGGCCAATGAAGGCGTTGTCTGGCTCATGAGTCTGTGTGTGTGTGTAGGACCACTTTGGTTGTCGCCTGGGTCTTGTAGGATGCTAATGAAGTTGCCAGGCTACTTGATAAGCACTGCTGTCTATTGTTAGCACAGTCTGGTTGCCCACAGAGGACTAGACTGAGAGTAGACTTGGACAAGAGCTCCTTCATCATCTTGCAGTTGCAGCAGATTAGCAGACAGGCGGATAGACAGGCAGCCCTGAAGTCAGACCACCCCTGCTGAAAGTGTGATTGTGTTGTCTTGAAACCTTTTCTTCCCACTTCACTGTTTTCTGTTACATTTCTTCTCTGAGTGACACATTGGTCTCAGGCTCTCCACTGTGGTGCCTGGCTTTGTTTCTTTCTAGATTGATGCCAGCTTTGTTCAGGGACTCCACATTTCCATGAAGAAGGAAATTGTCAAGAGTGCACTGGTTTACATTCAGATGTTGGATTTAGAGCTTTAGCCACTGTGATTTCTGTCAAATCTAACTGGAGACTTAACTCTCATTAATGATCTTAGATCTCTGTCATCATACGGGACAAGGCTGTAGATATATTTTATTTTCTGTTACAGTCAACAGATCCTACCAAAAGACCAAAAACTTGCACAGTTGAACTGATAATGATTTATATGATGGAGCAATTTCTGGGTCTCTCTGTGCTTTATATTGGCCTCCTGCATTGATATGAGAAGTTGTTTTTTTTACCCAAAATACAGGCTGAAGCTTTTTTGTAATACAGTTATATAGACAATAACCTTAAGTAACAATCATTTTGGGAAGAAATTCAATTCTCTGTTCCTATTCTGATTTATATTGTGAACAAAGGAAATCTTTTAAAAAAGATTTTAAATATTATTAGATTTTTTAAAAATCTTCCATCAACAGCATTTAATGCCATTATTGCAGTTGTGTAGAGTCTCTTTTTAAATCTAATTAAAACAAGGACAAATAGATTTTAAAAGAGTTTCTACCCAACTGCAATAATGGCATTAAATGCTGCATGGGCAGCCAAGTAAGAAATACATGTTCATTTTGCTTTGAGGTGTTATTGTAAGATCGTATGTGCACATGCCTGTGTGTGTTTTAGCTTGTTTTACTTTATTTATTTATTGATAGTTAAATAGGGTTTATGTGACCAGATGGGTGAGGCACTGTTAGGATGGCTTTTAAATTTCATTGTACATGTTGCAATGACAATGTTTTTTTTGAAAACTTTTTAAGCTTAAAATTAGCCAAATAGCATCCTGATTTATGATTGTCTTATTAATTAAATTTATTCCCATATGTACATTTTTATGCTTCTGCAGTGTGTTAAGCAGATGAGCAATTACCCATTGTCCCATTTGAATTCATCTTGAGCTGGATAAAGCCTGACATAGCTTATTCCACACAGCTCTATTGTTGACCAAAAGTGATTTTAAAGCACAGTGAGCCACACTGTTGCACTGACTGACGTGCTTCTTTATGACTCTGAACATGGGCACAAAGCTTTATTTTGCGTGAATGCACACACTGTTGTGTTGCTGTAAATACTCCACCACCAAATGTGTATTAATCCACAGCAGAAAATAGTTCCCCCAAATTGTACTGTTTATTGTTGTTTGTATAATGTTTTCTAGAAATTATATGGCCCAGCTGTTTAAAAAAATACCTAGGCTTAAAACACACACACACACACACACACACACACACACATAAATATTTATTAAACACCTTCATTAGGATGAAGTAAGCTTAGGCCTTAGAGCCACAGACAGATGCACTCACACATTGTCTGTTTTAGTTATTTCATGGGTGTTATTTATTTACAATATAAACAATATAGGATGATACCAGCCATATTTACAAGTACAGTAACAGGACGTTTACCCAGACAGAGACAGGTATGTTGGTGTCCTTACATAAAACTGTATTCGGTTTCCAGAGCAGGACCATTTGTGCAAAGATTAATTGCTGATATGTCCTTTTGTTAAGAGCTGCATGCGTAAAGGTGCAATACTTATGGTATCTCTTTAAGAGAGAAAGCGTTACCTCATCAGAAGCTGTGTAAAGGAAGGAAGTGAGTGAATGGATGAAGGAGCGCAGTGCTAACTCTCTCCACTCCTTTATGCTTGTGGGTGCAGGCTTCATTAGTTCTACAGAAAGGGACAGCTCCCTCCCAGTCCCTTCAATAGACCCGTAGACCTGTCTGACTGGCACAGGCTCCGGCTCAGTGGGGAGGGTTTGTCACTGTGTGTCAAAGTGTATGTTTGTGCTTGCATTATGCATTTGTATGTGCGTTCCCAAACCATTCACACCAGGCCTCATAGTTTCTCACTCATGCCTAAAGGAAGCCTGGCATTGACACTTTATTGAGACTCACATCTCTCTCTCTTTGTCCCTCGTTTTCGTGTTTGCTCTCACAGGGATTCTATTATTCTCGATTTCAAAATGATTTTCTTCATTGTATGCTCTTTCAGTTGCTTTATTCCTCTTTGTCTCAGATCTCTCACAGAACTGGACATTGAGTAAAGAACTACATATGTGCTGTACAGAACAGGCTGTGCATCAGATTCGGGTTTTTAGACCAATTCTCATCTAGTGTTCCTTCACGTAAGTTACTTCATAGTGAGAAACTTACAGAAACTGTATTTGCAGTGATTTCTCAGCAGAACTTTGACAGCAAAGGCCAAGTGAGCTTACAAAATGCAGGGATGAAAAATTCACTTTTCTTTTTCTGATACCTCAGGAACAGTAGTGAGATTCACATGTACAGCAGATTCGGTGAATCTACTGTATGAACATGTTCTTCACATATTCTTCACAGTGAACATGTATCTAAACTCCACTAAAACGAGCAACTGGGCAATTTTCTTTGTTATATTGTTTGAAGAAATGTCTGTCAAAGGGAGACACAGTAGGTCAGCGTAAAAATATTTTTACTTTCATCAAAACCTTTTCTGACAGCCATGGTGTTTAGAACCTCTCTGTGAGTAAATCTGACATGAGAAAATCCAGCTAAGCTATCCCTCAAAAGTGGCACCCACTGTTTCCTATCAGGCACTGTGTGCAGGCAGCTATTCGGGGTCCTCATTGAGCGGGGGGGAGGAGACACGTATACATCCATTGTATATAGGCAAAGGTGCTGAAGAGATGAGTGGCCGTCACCACCTCCTCTGCTCATTGTTGTAGTACTGCATTAATGAGCTCAGCGTGCATCAGACGCTCAACAATCAGCACTTGTCATTCAAAGCTTCTTTTTATATCACACAATTATTTTGTCAACTGAAGAATATAAGTGAAACATAACTCAGAGTGCATGTGATAGTTGCTGATGATTAGTTATTCTATAATTATTGATTTCCAGCTGAGTCTGGGTCATATCTCTGGGGGTTCAAAACTCGAGTGAAAGTAGAGTAGAAAGAGGACAACTTTGTCCTACCCCGGGAGAAATGCAGGCTTTGACTCAGAAATAGAAGCCTATTGATTTCCAGCTGAGTCTGGGTCATATCTCTGGGGGTTCAAAACTCGAGTGAAAGTAGAGTAGAAAGAGGACAACTTTGTCCTACCCCGGGAGAAATGCAGGCTTTGACTCAGAAATAGAAGCCAGATAGTGAGAGAGAGAGAGAGAGAGAGAGAGTGGCTGACAGAAGAGGGGGAATGAGAGTACAATACTGTGGCCTGGTTTGTGGGTCCGGAGGGAGAGAGACACTTTTGCATTTCCCCTGCAAAACGAGATAGGACGAGCTCTTTTAACGCATACACACAAACATATATATACAGTACACATGCACAGCTTGTTCCTTCCTTCTAAGTGAGCCAGGACTAGATTCATGCAGCTTTGTTGTTGAGGCAGCAAGAAACTTATTGCCCCAGATTTAAAGCGAACCTCCTTCACACACGCGCAGCCCTTAACTGTTAAAACTCTTCAAATGAATTCAGCTGTTTCAGTCATAATTTCACCTTTCATTTTTTTCTGCATCACTTTTAATTATGACCAGCATTTTAAATATCCC